AGTTTCCTGGCTCTGGATGTGTGTTGATGGTATTAAAGGACCAATCACACTGGAGGAACAGGAAAAGAGTTAGCACACACACAAAAAACAGATAAATTAGGTCTGGGCAATAAATCAGTAACAATATACATAGTGGCAGACATGTAATCTGTATAGATAGATAATATGTCTGCTAATTCAATGCATAGAATATTCTCTGAACTCCAATCCAGAACTTCATGGCATTCTAGGAGATGTAGGCAGAGGAAAGACTTTATCCGCTCAACCTCACATTGCCAATTCAGCTAGGTTGGTGACATCAACTAACTCACTCACTCTTTGGTTACCTGCCACAGCTGACAGCTGCACCTGAAACAATATGTATCAATATGGAGGTAGTTGCAGTTGCTCCCACTTTCTGACATTTTGAGTTCATTCTGACTAGGATGTTGGAATTTTCCATTTTCAGCTACAGCTGGAACTCAGCTTTATTAGTTCCTGTTAATTAGTTGTTGTTGTTTTTTTTAAACTGTAATGCCTCCTTTTGAAAAGATATTATTTATAATGAACACTGAGCACATCTTGCTCCCCAAACTGCCACATATCGTGTCTGTGTGATTTTGTTGATACTGGGATTGCTTGGAGCTGTGTATATATTTAAAATGACACAAAAAACCAACACAATTTGATAAAAACACTAATGTTTTTTTTTAATGGATTCATGCTTTAATGATGTGGCTGCAGAGAGTTATTGTGCCTGCTCAGTTGATTTAGTTTTTTGTGGTGGTGAGCTCTACACCCCCTTTGTCTTTGATCCCCTAGTAGCAGCTTCGCCTGAGAGAACAGCCCTGGCTTGACTTACTGAGCTGAAAACTAGCTCATTGTACAACTTTAATGGCAAGTTTAGTTTAGCCAAAGCTGTATCAGAAAATCTGGACAGGTGGAAGTTGCTTCTTGGTATTAGGCCCCTGGAAATGGTCGTTTATTGTGGTTACGTCTGGTGATGTTAGCATAAATGAAGTCCAATACAACCTTGGTTTCACAGTAGCTGCGCTTCCATTACAAACATAGGCAAAACTTTGTCAATATTCTGCTAATGTCGAAAAAACACAATTTCACTATTGTGCTGTTTCCATTAAATAAGAGACACAATTAAAATCACATGTGAATAAGTTTGTTCACGCAGTAAGTCATTTAAAAACATGTTGTTCCATCCTCCTCTTACTACTTCCTGTTGTCTTCTTCATCGTTTCTGCCAGTAGTAACATCCGGTTGTGGATCTTGTTAGATCCGGAAAAAGTATTTCCATGGCAGTTTTGCAAAATACACAAATTTCTATACAGCCAAAAAACCACCTCATTTTAGTGGCAAGACATTTTATCAAACTTTATGGAATTCTTGTTTCCTTTAGGTATATTTTTCTTTTTCGAAATTCCAATTTTTGCAATTTTATGGTCAAAAGAAACGCAGCTTGTAATGCCTTGGATATCATCAGTTCTGTAGAAATGATGTCATTTCCACAGACAACACACTTGAGCTCTATGCTTTGCTTTGTGGTAATACCTCTCTGTGGTGTTGCTTTGAGATCCCAGGGTGTCTCCTCTATCACATGTGTTCTCTGGTTGGGGGGAGGGGTACCGAAGATGGCCAGTGATATTCTTCAACTGGTGTTAATTTTAAACCCGGTTCTCGCCGTGGAGTGAGATTAGGTCCCATTCTGGGCTGCTATGACCTCACAGAGCGAGAAGCTAAGAAGGATTTGGCTGTCTCTGCTCAGACGGTTTATCTTCCCTGTTTATGTCAATGGTCTGTGTGAGAGAGTTGGAGCAAAGCAGACACCGGCAGAGTCAATGACCGAGACTCTGGCCGCCGCCTCGGCCCAGCGCAGTGAAGCCCGGTCTTTTGTGGCGTTGAATCAGTCTGTGTAATAGAACTGAAAGCGATGACAGCGTAGCTGGTCGACAGAAGATGCGTGGACTTGTTTGTTCAACTGATCTGGAGATGGATTTGGCTGAAGCTGATGAAGTTGTGGTAAGGAACAGCTAGTAATACCAAGGAACTTGTTTTTCACTGAGAGATTCGCCTGAAGCAGGTTGAGTAAATGTTAGTTAAGTTTATTTGGATTGCACATTTCAGCGACAAGGCATTTCAAAGTGCTTTACATCATAAAAATATAATGATTAGGCCTGTCACAATAGCAAATTTTGCTGGGCAAGAAATTGCTCAAGAAATTATTGTGATTGATAAATGATAATATTGTTGTTTTGAGGCCGATTTCAAATAATATAATAATGGCATAAATAATGCAAGAACCGATTTTCAAAGATTATTAGACTTTAAATTCTAATGAATATTTAACACTGGAATTGGAAGACATGTTAAATATCCAAAAATAAACAAAACAAAACAACAGAAACAACAAATAAAGTGAATTATGAAGCTTCTGTAAACAAAACTGTCCTTCAAGAAAAGGGGCTAGTTGAAACTGAAGACTTGTCATCCAGTTTTTGGTAGAGAGAGAAAAGAAAAAACAAATAATTAAGCAAATGGAAATTATTGACCTTGTTTTAATTTATCATGCGATTAATTAATTTATTGATAATTGTGACAGGTCTACAAAATACATGCAGTCATCAAAATTATCAAGCAAATGTACCTCAGATATCAATGCTCCAGTTCTTATGAATCAAAAGCAGTTCTGAACAGCTCAGTGTTTCAGCATCTTTGCAGTTTTCTGGAAGTTTGGTCCAGATTAGAGGATAAAAACTGCTTCTCCACATTTGGTTAAATCATTTCTATGATGAATGTTTTAAAGGCTTTTGTATAATATTGGCTTAATTCAGTTAGTTAGACCTTGTAGTGTTGAAAATAATGTTATGAATCCTTTTTATCAGCCACTTAAATAAAACATTAACTACTGCGATGTTTAAAGATCCGGGTTGCTTATTGTAATTCAAAATCGCTGTGCATTCATGGTGACCTCTAAAGCCGCGGCATTCAGGAAGTGACTGCTAATCCTCCTTAAGTTAAGGTGATGGTTTTACAGATGCAGGTCACTGGTGACTGACAGCAGCAGTGAAAAGCGGGTGTTTGGAAGCAGCTCAGATTCAAAACTCCACTATGTTGGAGTGAGGCCAGAGCACTCAGGCTGAACAGCTGAGCCTCAGGTTCGGTCAGAAGACCTTTTCACTGCCACAGGCATCAGGGTTTTCTGCAGCCACTTGCCCTCCAGCCCACTGGGAACTGACAGATCTTCACAACGCAAAACTAGGGCAGCTGAGTTGTGCAAATATGATTTGCTGAAAAAATGTTGGCAGTCTAGAATGACTCAGTACTATGCAAATGAGGAGCTGGGGTTTGTTTTCTTTTTTTTTTTTTGACACTTTCCCTTTGATCCCTTTAACCAAAATGAGAAGACAAGTATTAACTTGTGAAGTTGCTATGACTAATAACCAGATTACATTAAAAAGTCATTTTCTGTTTGCATAGTAACATCAGCGTACACTGCAAAAGTCACAATTGTAAAATATATATTACTTAAAAATTAATTATTTGATATTTTTTAGAATTAACATAAAGACATTTCCTTTTAATGAACAGCCATTTAAATGATTAAAAGAGCACAAATAAAAAAAATTTTTTAATCCAGAAATGGTTCAAAAAACAAATATTTTAGAAATGCAGAATGACTTTAAGTCTCTGGGTACTGAAGACAATGTTATATTACTTTTTTTTAAAGCCCTTAAATGTATGACTATAATCAATATTTTCAACTTTATGTAAGTAGTGTTTTTTATGTAAGTAAAAAAAATATTGTTGACCAAAGCATGAAAAAATCTAATGGAAAATATTAGCAATAAATATCTTAAATGAAATGTAGTGATATCACTTTTTTCCCCACCCAATTTTTACATAACTGAAGATAAAAGGAACTGTATAATGAATATGTTTTCCAAACTAAAGATTTATTGGAAAACAAAAATAAGCAATTTACATTACATATATGAATTATTAACTTACTATCTGCACTGCTAACGGCTATGATAGCTGAAATGCTGAAAGTATGTTGAAACAAGTTAGCATTATTTAGGAGCAGCTCTGATCATCTCTGTACAAGTTAATATATTTCTTCTTACAGAAATATAATAACTTGCAAAATACCTCAATAAGACAGACACTTTAATAAATGTTATGATAAAGACATAAGACTGAGTCCTAAACCGTGTTTGCAAAAATGTGTGGAGTTGCAGTTGACTCTTAATACCACTATTATTACCAATAGCTTACATTACATTACAGTTGAAACTATAAGAAGTCACCATAAAGTGCTACTCAAGAGACACTGAACCCAGAAGTGCAGCAGTCCTCCAACTTCCTACTGTTGGCTTCATAATCCTTTTCACCTAAGCTCTCATAGCCGACATCATCATCATCACTCATTATTATCAGCCATAATCTGACAATAGAAAATATTCACCCCCTTGGATCAATCATAATCAGCAAAACTTGGCTTTATTCACAGTTTTTAACATTTTATTTATTTGTTTTACAAATTAAATAAATATAATGAATACATTTTATCACATATTTACAAGAATTAAGAAATTATGCTTTTCTTACATATGAAGTAACCAAATTAGCATCTCCAACGCTTCCAATTCCTAGACCAATCAAAATACTCAAAAGAATTTGTCAGTCAGCCAATCAGTAAAATATTGTCACAACTAAAAATGTCTTTGATTTGCTAACATCTGTGGTAAGATAAGAACATCAGTTTCATTACTATATTTTTTATATTTTAATTTCTTCAAATTCGATAAAATTTCAAAAGTAGCTTTTTGTAGGAGTCTTGTTATTATGCCAGTGTAAAAACAAATTTTGATAACCTAATGAAATTTTTGGTGCCCTCGTAGAGTGAGAAGTCCCTCTCTTCTGCCTCCTTCCTCTCTGTCGTCCCTCTGCGTTACATACCGGGTTTCCTCGTCTCAACTCAGTTCTGTTTCTCACCTTTTCTTCCCCAGGGGGATGCCAGGGCCCAGCTGGTGGCAGAGCGACTGGGTCTTGGACAAAACCTGGACCTGTCTGATACCATGGTCCAGCAGAAGCTGGACGAAATCAAGGAGCAGATCCGTCGTGAGATCCGCAAAGAGTTAAAGATCAAAGAAGGTGCAGAGAACCTGCGCAAGGTAACCCCCACAATATTACTTGCAAAAAAGTAATTTTACTTGATTGCAAACTTTAATCATTTCCAGTTTGTAGCTCTTTCTATTACTCTGACAAATTTACCACCCAAAAGAAGTAATAGTGCTCTTTTACTTTCTCATTCTTCCCACGTATCCTCAGGTCACCACAGACAAGAAGAGCCTGGCTTACGTGGACAATATGCTTAAAAAATCTAACAAGAAGGTGGAGGAGCTCCACCAGGAGCTGCAAGAACTAAACGCTCATATAGTGGTCAAAGATCCAGAAGAATTAGCAGGTAATTAGAACTGGACGACTGCATCGATTCATGAGCTAATTCTTCATTATCCAAGTTGTACCAGTAAAATATTTGTGACAAATTCTCGTCCCTGGTTTTTCCAAAGCTTTGACCGACTTATTTCTTTTTAAGAACTATAGTATAAGAAGATGCAACATCATAACTCAATGAAATACTTCAGTATTCCCTGTACCGAACTTGAAAATTGGACTTTATGTTGCTAACCTTAGCATTCACCAACAACTCCTTGGTGGAAGTGAGAGCTCTGTGCAACACAAATAATCACCCGACCCAAACATGGTGCGCTAAATAATTAAACATAATTTAACGAAGTTTTGAGGCAGATAATTTGCTCAACAAATTTTTATAATCGAGGTACTCCAATCATTTGAGGAATCATTGCAACCCTAGTTGTTATAGCAACCCTAGACATTTTAGGCATGTGCATTCGCTGATCAGAAAAAGATCAGCTGATCAGTAGCAGCCGATTACCAATCAATATCTCTTATAGCTATTCAAAATGTTTAGCTAAGCTTTACTGGTGAAAGAGCTATCTGTCCCGTCATCTACATCTACATTTCCTCTGAATGCCAGCCCATTCAGCTGTGCGTTTGCTGCATAGTTGTTTTAACTGTAACTACAAATATTGACAGTACAAACAATTTTGGGAGTGTTCTGTCAGAAGCCCTGTATAAACTTACACATGCTAATAGAGTGCACATCCAGTGTTTGGAGGTGACTCATTCCCCAGAGGCTGACAATGTTGCATTCCCACATTCCAGCGATAGCTACAATGAGCTGCCGATTGTTCCTCGCCGAGCCTGTTGAAAGCCTGCTCCTGTTCGTTTGTCAGCAACAATGGAATTTAGAGAGAGTTGAAGCACAACAGCTGGGAGCATTCAGGATTGCCTTTGTTACCGCCATTGTCTTGTGGAGTAGTTGTTGGCAGCTGTTGTTCTGATGGGTTCAGGAAGCAAATGGATGGCCTGTTGCCGTCACATTACCCTGGGTTCGGAAGTAGATTAAGGAAGACGTTTTAGTTTAGATTTATGTCCTGAGCGCGACCTGAAATTGGGGCCGGGTCGGGCCAGAATTATTTGCTTAATAGTCTGGTCAGGCTCAGACGTTAAAAATACCTGCAGTGCATACAACACAGAGAAAGCCAAAGGAAAATGCACAGTATTGTTGTGTTAATCTACTTATTGTAGTGTAAATGGAGGATATATGGTTTAATCTGTTGAGGAAATAAAGAAAGTAAGTAGGATGCAGAAGTTCATCAGATTGTAACAAGTGCAGCGCGCTGCAGGGGCATACAGCTCCACCTTGCTCCTTGCACCTTGCAGGCGAGATAGGATCCTATCGATCAATCATCCCAGACGATTTGCACTTAACTCATCATGTAGTTGCAACAAGCATCAAGATGGAGCCGGAAGATATATATATATATATATAGGTATCTAGGCACAGCCAAGATACTGCGCAGAACCTTCAAGCTCCCAGGCCTCTGGTAGAGGACCTGAGCTCAGAGGATGAAAGAGAGACCACCTGCGGAGGGTGAGAAGGGGATTATTATATATCAGTGACGTGCGGTGAGGTTCATTGCTGGTGAGGCACTGACTTACAACTTATATACTATGCATGTTATTGGACGTACGGAAATTTTGCTCAGGCATACAACGCTGAGGGGCAAAAAGACTAATCTTTTACATGTCATCCATAGCCGCGTTAACTCAGTGAAACTTAGTAATGCAGGTAGTGATTTCGTGCTATGATCCACTGCAAAGGGAAAGAGGTATTCGCCAAGCTACACGCAGACTCGTTGCCATAGCAACTGACAACAATTAATTCATCTAATTCTGCACAAAAATATCTGTTCATCCAAACCCAAGTCTATCCTTGGCATGTCTTTTCTACTCCGTTTAAGAATCATCAAACTGTCTCGAAGCAAAACTTTCTGTCCGGTGTTGGTCTTCCTT